CCCAACAAAATGGCAAACATACTTCAAGATGTCCTTGCCTTTGAGATCTATATTCTCTTGGAATCTGATCCACCTTGTGTCCTGGATTGGTGTCTTTAATTTGCCAAAGGACTGTTTTTGTGACCCCCCTCAAGAATCTACTGAGATCTAGTGGACCTTTTGATGATGTTGGAAGTGACTGAAATGACAGCATCATGATGAGCTCGTGATCGCTGATCTCACTCGATCCCAAATCTTCCAGGGCCTTCAATGGCAATGTCCATTCTCAGAAACCTCAAGCCACGGGTGATCTTTATGCATCCTATCTGGGTCCAATTGGGGGAACATGATTTGACACATTTTGAAACCTGCTTTTCTATCTTTTCTCAGGTTCCTCATTCTTGGACCTCTGTTGACATGTCAGCTCTGGAGCTCCAGAGGGTGGACGACTACACATTCAACATGGCTCATGCCTTAAACTTCAACGAGTTGTCTGTTTTGCTCATACCATGCTTTTCCTTATGATTTGCTCCGGTTATGATTTTTCCCCGACTTGAAGCAAGATACATGCAAAATTTGACAGAATGTGAGCTACTAGTGGACACGGAAAACATCAAACAAATCATCAACCCCCGAGGCACTACGGCCAAGTGGCTCGGAAGCCAATTCCCATGAGCCAGGGCACCAAAGGGCACCAAATCCACTGCCTGCTACGCCCAGCTCCTGTCAGGTCTAGCGTAAACAAGCAAAAAAAAACCTCCAGTGAAGCACTATTTTGCTAGCTGCTAAAGCAAACTGGAATGGCAAGATACTGCTTGCACATTCGCTTCCTTTAAGAAGACATAACTGGTCTTGACATATCCAATCCGCAGTAAGCAATCTCTCACGGAATGCGCGTTTGTCGAAGAAAACGACGCATAAATTGGTCACGTCAAATACACTTTGGAATTTGGGGGTTCTCCTTTTCATGCCATGTCGACTTCGTTGAACGACATCTTGGCTCAGCATGGGTTTCAGAAGGACTATTTCTGCTAAGGGTGGGTTCAAGTTCTGCTGGTAGTGATCTTAAAGCTCATGATCAATCTCATGATCATTTTTTAAAATGACCAGTCTCATGATTACGAAGTCGAAGACCTATTGGACCCAACAGTTTTTGTTGTTTGAATGTCTCACCCATTGGCAGGATATGTCCGACATGATAGACTCCGACCCTGGCGCCCTGCAGACTCCAAGTCCAGCAGCCCCCAGCCCAAAACTCAGCCCAATAAAAGTCCAAAATTGAACTCTTACTCAGCCCTCCAATCTCAATTCCAGCTACGTAACAACAGTTTATCACAGTATGGTGTCTGAGGTGTTACGCAGCCCTGATGCAGCATCCGTGCAGAGCCAGCCAAAGGTCTCTCCTCCTTCTACCAGTTCTCTTCCAATGCGCCGTGCGAAACCTGGGGGGTGGAAATGCAGAGGCTGCGTTGGGCCCTGAGAAACTGGCTGAATTGAAGAAAGAAGTGTCAGAAGCCAAGAAGGATAACAAATTACAAAGGAAGGCTAGCAAGGCCACGATTGAGAAAGGGTTTGTCCCAGAGAAGGTGAAACCAGAGGTCACCCTTGATGTGCCTAGTGCAGCAACCTTGAAAAGAAAGGCTGAGTCGAGTGCTGCTCGAAAATACTTGGATTCTTTGGCAACCCCTGCCAACCCTGGTGCTCAGAAAAAACCTGCTGCCAATACGAACAGAACCAGGAAGGCCAAGGCCAAGGCCAAGTCCAAAGCGAGTTCTTCCAAGAAAGACAAGAGCCATACCAACAAGGCTAGGTGTCTTGGGTTAATTTGTTTCTTCCAAAGACTCTTTAGGGACCCACAAGTTCTTGATATCATGTCAACATTCTTCAAAAGATTGATTGAATGGTGCATGATAGTATCTTAGATGGTTGACAACAACATACAGCTCCATCAAGCACAAGTTTCCATTTGGGTTCCTATCTTTATGTTTTGATGGTCAGTAGCATGGATACCATGGTTTCTCTGATTTAGCCAAGACTTGACCTCGAAACCTTGCTGCCCTCAGGGTGCCCGTGCCAAGTCTCGCAAAGCTGCCATTGCGGCTGCTGCCAACCAGGCATGCAATGCCTCATGTGGCTTGAGTGTTTCAGGTTATGGATGGTGGGTTTAGCAGGATGTATTACAAGTATATCATTATCCTTCAAAAAAATCAGGAGAGCTATATTAGCTATATGATAATATGTATCTTTTCTGATGCCTAGATATGACAAGTTTTACTTTCAAGTTTCAACTGTGTTCTCAATGTTTACAAACCAAGGAATATCATAGTCAGTGCCATCATGACCCATTGCTTGACAGGACAACGAGGAGATCCTTGACTTGGTGGAGGATGATCATGAAGGTGGTGAAGAGGAGAATGGGGGTGAGTCTGATAGCATACTGTCCCAGGAGACTTTGGTGTTGCCAGGGAAGGGTGATGATGGTGATTCTGATGGTGGTGACCCCCAGAACGAGCCGGTTGCACCTGATGCCCCCAAGTCCGAACCCACACAGAATATGAGAGAGCTCTACTGGAAGGTCGTTCATGAGGCTCAGACCAGGATTCGCAAGGCCCACCCCAAGATGAAAGCTGTCGAAGTCCTCAAGTTGGCCCGAGCAGAGCGTTCTGACTGCACTTACCTTCACTTAGGGTTTCAATGGGCACTGTCATATGGTTGGACATTCAATCCTTTTCATACGAATAGTGTCAGAAAGGATCAAAATATGGTACATCAAAATACTGTGTTTCATGGCTTGTATGCTCAGACTTGTACTACTTATCTGAACTATGTTCCCCCAAAATAAATTTATGATACTTCTTGATTGGTTCCATTCCAAATCCTGTTGAGGTGGAACGACCATCCAGAGCGCTTGAACATCATCAAGAACATGTCGAAGAATGATCTCTCTAAGCGTCGCTTGATGCCTGATGCCTCCAAGAAGACCCGAGTCAAAAAGATTCAGTCTTAGAGTGTTAGATGTCTTAGATCAATCTTAGAGACACCTTCCTGTCTGCATGCCTGGATCAATTGATGGGGATTACATGCAAACGTTAGCAGGTACATCCAAATATCAAAGCCACCAAAACGATGTTGATATGAAAACATATCCGAAGTATCTTTGATGACTCAATGTTCTTATACAAATTTGTTTTCATATTGGATTCCATACTGCCAGGCTGTGCAGTGGGTGCTGTGTCAATGATTCGTCATTTTGGGGTCTGACTACATGTCAGTCGGTAGTGGAAGGATGTTTGAGATTCGTTAGGCTAGATTCTCAGGGTTTCCGGTGCTACTGACAATGGCAACGATGAAAATCGAGCATGTCTACCAAGTATGCAAACCAAGTGAAATATGATCAGTTGAAAATCAATACAGCTCACCATTCAGTGGAAAGCAATCCTACATTTGAATTCATGCCTCTTTGGCAGGGGATCCCATGGCCCACACGGTCCCGGCCAAATGGACATCTGATCAATGCCGAGTCGTTCTTGAACTACCTAGCGAGACTAGCAAGGCCACACAGGACGCGGCTCCTTGCACGATTCGGCAGCTCTTGATCGAATTCGAAGAGTCTGGCATCGTGGACGTTTGCCTGCATCAGCACACGTGTGAGCGTCCAGGTGCTGATGTGTCCACAGGCTGGTACCATATCGAGGGTATATCACAATCGGTATTGTTACCAAAGTATACCAAGTATATTTGTTTAGTAATTAGGCTGAATTATTGAGAAGGTTCTGCCACAAAGACACTACTATTCAGTGAAGTATTTCTTGTTTACCATGTGTTTCTTGCTTGACTTGAACTACTTACTGAAGCGAAACATGCATTCATCACCTGTCAGACAAAGACTACTTCGTGGTGACCCCAGAGAAGTCGGTGCCCATCTTCTCCTACACCCCTGGCCTGGGCAACATGAAGTTCTCCACTGCTGCGAGCGGGTTTACAAACCAGGCATGTCTAAGGTTTCTGTTGAATTGGGTTCAGCTGAATGAGTTTGAACCAAATTGACTGGTTTGGTATCTCTTGGTCAAATCTGAAACATGTAGATCAAACTATTTGAAGTACGTGATTTGAAAAGAACATAAACACAATTTGTTATGTTAGCTGATTCTCTGTCTCTTGGCTCTTGTTAGCTCGGCAGGTGTTGGAAGCCAGCCGCACGTTGGTGACATGTTGGCGGGTTGCATACTTGAAAGCTGAGAAGGACTGTCTGGTCTGTTGGTTCACCTCAACTTAGCTGTCAGACACTGTCAAATTACTAGACTTTTTTGCTAGGATCACATCATACTTGGATAAAATCAATCGCACCATAAGCTGTCTCATCCGTGAGCTCCTCAGGAAGTTCGGCCACGAAACTTGGAGAAATGTGGTATATCAGAGTCTGATTATCAGAGGGGTTTGCTGAAGCTACAATGGAAGGTGGGTAGCCCGTTTGCAATTTCTTTTTGTCGAGTCTCTATCTGAGGAAAACCCTTGTATTTTCTTCGAAAACCTTGTTCGCTTGCAGCGAATGAAATCCTGCGTTTGCTTTAGTTCGCTGGACTGCTAGTGGATCAATGGTCACTCAATTGGAGTGTTTGGGTTGCCAATGATGATGTGGACCCATTCTGTCAACATCTTAGCTCTCAAAAACACTTTATCATTTTACAATCTATAACCTTTAATCACTTGAGATGTCACTAGACAGTTCCATTGGTCTTAGTTGCATCTCTTCTGGGACATGTCATCTAATGGCTCTGGGTATGCGTTCACTTGGCCAAAGAGGCTTGAGCGAGATTGCAAACCGGGTTGAAGCTGGAGAAAAAAAATCAAGGGCTCTTGGAAACCCTGGTTGATCAATGTTGGCCGCTCTCTCTTATTCTCCACTTGATTCTCCAAAATCCATCCAGAAACTCAAGGTTCCTGATAGTGATGCCAAAAAGCACAAGGTATCAAATAAAATGAAAAGGGTATCGATTACAATGAAATTGACTTAATTCTTTTTTTGAACCGGTTGTGCAAGCTTGTCGTTTAGCGCCCGCCATTGTCGGGTAGACATCATCGCTTTCAGCTTCTTGGAGGTCTACTGAAGTCTATGTACACCTCAGTGGGCCTTCAAGTTGCATCACATCAATCCTCAGAATGCACGCAGCTTGTCCTGTTGACCAAACATGGTCCGTTTGGTGTGACTTGCAAGCCAAATCAAAATGAGACAAACCTTTCTTCAGGATGTTTCATGGACATTTTTCATGGACATTCTCTTGGACCCGTGATAAACCGTCTTTCACAATCACTCAGTACCTTTCAGCCTTTCTCAGTCATGGGCACATGAAATTCCAGGCCATGTGGCAAGATTCATTGGAGGAGGCTGTCATTCTCCTCTTCATCCATTTTGCTCCAATTCGTTTCCATAGATGATGAAACGATGTCGTTCTTCACATTGGTGGCCTGTGCGTGCGTGTCTCTCAGCACAAATCGGTCAGTCGTTTTTGCCGTGACGTGGCCCTGAAAGCCCAAATTCCAGTGATGTATCGGGGGCAACAACAAGAACCAGCCGAGAGCTTCGGCATATTCGGCGTGTGTCAACACTCGCCTGGTTCTTCCGCAACTTTCGAATGTCTTTGTCGCGATGAACTTGAAATATTCGAAGTGCATGCCTCCGACAATTCGCTTCGCAGGGCCACAGAAGAGTTGCAAGCAGCCTCACAGGGGCAATGAAGGTACTTAAACGGCAAGAGTATCATGCACTGCAATCCATGCATTGGAACACTCCTTGGCCAATTTGCTGTCTCCCAAAAACCTTCTGTTTGTCGGCTACAGACATGCAGGAAGCCTTTGTCGTCTAATCACAGCCCAAGTTGACAGCTGCTTGCAAAAAGGTTCAATCTGCCCGCACAGCGCGAACCTCCCGCGCCTTGGAAGCCCTCTGAAAAAGCAGGATAAAGTCGTATTGTTGATAGTATTCTCTGTCTCTGGTCTTCGCCGGGCATCATTGATGTGTCAATTCCTCTGAATGACAGTATCATGCAAGTTGTGAACTCTTCAACGGGATGCCACTCTCGCGCCATCCTAGGCATTCATGTCACTGAGGTTCTGAACTTTGTTTTTGTCCGCCAAGGAATGCCAAGGATGCTGAACCATCCGTGGTCATACAAATCCTTTGTTACCCTCTTCATTTGATATGTTCTTTGCAAAATGCATTGCAATATCTACAACTAAAAAAGCTATAGACTATAGAAATCTAAAACCCACTAGATTCCACTGGTTCCACTATAGAAATCTTCATTCCACTAAATTCCACAGAGTATTTCTATCACGTTCTTTGGAACCACAAATATCACAACTAATCAAGGCAAAATAAATAAGTTTTAACTTTTGCCAATGAGTTCTGCACAAAGCCTACGCGGTGTAGGCCAAAACGAGCCTACGCCAATGCCTACGCAACCTACGCCATCTGCATGGGAGCCTACGCCTGGGGCACATATGTCTTGTGGTGTCTCGGCGTTCACGTGTTTATTCAGCCATCGTCGTTTGCGGGCCTACATCTTACAACCATTTGTATAACTCTTCATTTGTTTGATGCCTTCTTTGGCCTATTTCTGAGAATTTCAAATCCATTTTTTCACTGCAGGATAATCTTATATCAGAGATATGATACAAGTTTTGTCATGAAGGGTGGGCAGGTTGAGACATGCAAACACTGATTTGCCTGGGGAGGGGTGAACTTGGCCCTGCATGAATTGGGCAAAGTTCTGTTTGGACGGCTTATTGTGATATCAAAAATCCACCAGAGTAGCGTGTTTCTTCTGGACGCAGAAAAATAGATGAAGTGGGAACTCCGCCAAGACATCACCAAGACACCATCGAGACACTAGCGACGCATGAGCGAGACACCACTGAGGGAGGCACCATCGAGACACCACCAAAACACCACCGAGACACCACCGAGACACTATCGAGACATCACCCGAAACACCACCAAGGCAAGCTGTTGGATTCTCTAATTTTGAACTACACATTTCTGCACCGTCTTCAAACTCTCCTTGACCTCCGTACTGCTTCCAAAATGTTCCAAATATACTTATGTGTGTGACGCCATTGTTGCCGAGGGCCCCCTACACATCTTCTGACAAGTGGATATGCTGCATGCATGCATGTTTCGTTCCAAACTTCGAAATGGCTGCATTAGCATTCGTCGTGGTGGTGGTGGTGGCGGTGGGGGTGGCGGTGGCGGCGGTGGCGGCGGTGGTGGTGGTGGGCAAGAGAAAGAATGCAGCCGAGAAAGGAAGCAATCACAAAGAAGAGCCGGCAACGACAGGCGATTTGCTCTCTTCCCCAGAATGATCTTCATGCGGATATCCCTTATCCCTGCTTTAAAAATGGCTGGCACTTAAAGACGACCCCAAACGGCGAGCCCTTGACACAGCAGAAACATGCAAAACTGCTCTTGAAAACCACAAACTTCTGCAGCCGCGTGACGGAACATCACTCAGCGGCTGAAGTGTGTCTATGTCCACCAAGCGGAACAAATGAGTTAGCCAGACCTGCGCCATCTTTAAAAGTTGACAGTTGGCTCAGTTGACATCGGAATGCAAAGGTTGATCCTTTCGTCCACCAGCCTTCCAGCACCCAAAACTGCTGGACACTGCCCGAACTTTCTGTTTCATCACTTCTTGCACCTCGGCTCGGTCTCAGGATTTTCAGGCTGAGAAATATGTGAAAATATAATGATAGTATTAAATGTAATGACAACAGCTGTAACTGCAACAACAATGATCAAATCAAACTCCGCAATTTCTGCCTAACAACTCGTTCATTTCTGCACATCTCGTGTGTACCCTTTCATAAGTTGAGGCACAGGAAGAAAACCCAGCACGTGAAGAAATATCCTCAGCACCGCAGCAAGCTGTTGACCATGAATGGGATCAGTTCCAATCTGTCTTTGTCCTGCCGAGTAGCTCAGGAGGGAAATTGGCCTCCAAGGATTCGCTCCTGCAGTCGCCAAGGATTCATATCGCGCCCTAGTCTTGATGCACACAAAGCAAACCTTACGAATGCAGAGACAATCCAAAAATGTTTCGATTTGCATGATGCCTTGCGGCGAAAGGAGCTCCACTTCAAATGCGGACGAGAGTCTGAGGAGCGCATGCATGAGCTGCACCGATTTGAGCAACCTGGTCAACGTTCAAAGTCGTCTGTATCATTTCAGACGGAAACATGTCACCAACATGACTGTTTCATATCCTGAAAGTCAAAGAAGGCTTCTAAAAAAACACTATACATTCATGAGTTCACCTGTGCCCAAGCGAAAAGATGTTTCAATTCGAAAGCACTCATCAATCAAACGCCACCAAAAAAGAAACTTCAAGGGTACCACAGTTCTTTGTCCTTGGGTTGAAAGGTTGGCGGGCCGCCCAGAATAATCAGCCATCAACTGAGCATATATTCCCAGCCGAACGGCTCCATTGACAGCATCGGAACCCTCGCTTGTTTGCAAGGTTGTCGCAACTTTGCAAGCCCTTAGCAAGAAACAATTGCCGAGATCGTGTCAGAAAGGTCAAACAAAATTCCATCAAGTTGAATTGGAGAAAAAAAAACTGATCACAAAGAGACCCTTTTTTCACAACGTGTGGCCAAGTCTCCACTTGCAATCTGATTGATGTTCCCCAGTGCATGAAGCACCATTCGAACCATCCACCTCTGTCACATATCAACGCTGCAACGGATCCCGAAGTTCAGAGTGCTGAGATCACATACTCGGAAAGAGGGACACAAGATAGCGAGGCGATTTCATGTGAGAAAAGATATTGGAGAGGTCAAAAGTGCTTGATAGCCACCCACCACTAAGGCGCCAATTGAGTGGCCTCATTCGTCTCATTCTTGGAGTTTGATTCCTCTTCAAACCTGGTGCCAAGGCTCGCTGCGGCTCACTTGTCCGGGCATCAAGTAGACTCAGCTGTGTCAAAAGGCCAGCAGACCCGCCTCGACTCCGCTTCCTCGACCTGGCCAAGGCACCGGCAAGAATCATGTCGTGCCACGCAAAACAGGGAAGCTAGCAGCAGCTCGCGCCAAGCAGTGCTTTGGTGTAAAGAATTGTCAAAACAATTTTGTTTGAGAACAAAGGACAGGGTGGTTTTTTTACTTGGTGAGCTCCATTGCTGCACCCATTTCCAAGTCCCAAAGCCGTATCCCTTGTCCAGCTTCGCATTTAGACTGCAACGGTTCACTTCTCTGACATGACTTCAACTTCAATTCAGTACGTATGGGAGTACCTCTATCTAAATTCCAAACACCTTTCAATTGGCCTTCCATTTCCTGAAACAACATGAATATTAATTCTCGCTTGCACCCAGGGTGTCACCCTCCTTTCTTTATCTTTCTTTTGGATCTGCCCCCGTTTGAGCACCTCGGACTCGCCGGCCGAATCACTGCTTTCACCAGATATCTGCGGCTTCGCCGCCTAGCCCAACCAAACGCTCTGGCTCCTTGATAGCTTACCCACTTGACTATAGGAACATCAACTCTGGTGCTTTCCAAAGCTGTACCTCAAACCTAACCTCTCCCACATGAGTTTCGTCACACGTGCAACATGTGCAGTTCCCTTCCAAATCCGACGATTGATTGGAAGCCATCTGCAACAAGACGGGTTTTACTGTATACAATACGGGGCAGTGATAGCTAGTGACTCGTGGAACTCTTGCAATGTATGGAAAAGCGTGAAATAGTCGTCTAGTTTTCTTGCAACACCAATACTAAAGTATAGCTGCATCAGACTGCAAAAGGCCGCAAAAGCCTTGCGGCTCAACAAAAAGGCTATAGTGCCGGACAGTCACTTAGAACAGCATGTTTTTTCCAAATTGTTGGACTCTCACACTTAGAACATCCAGAGACCCCAACACTTAGAACATCCAGAGCAAAATCAGCTAGAACATCCTATATGCAGGTTGATGGATGTTCTCAGTGTGAGGCTCCTTGCAACTAACCCTGGTTCCCCACTCACAAACAAGAGCTCGTTCAAGTGTTTGTTGTCAATAGATCATTTAAAAAACAGCCATGTCAATAGATCAATTTTAAATATATTTGTTGTAATGTCTTGGGATCTTCTAAGTGTGGGGGTCTCCACAGCTGATTGACAACGGACAGGGTCTGTGTCGGCCGCGGTGAGTCGGCCGGCGGGGTGGACGTGTCGGCCGCGGCTGGGTGTGCTTGTCGGCCGGCGCCAAGTGCCGTGTCGGCCAGCGCCAAGAACCGTGTCGGCCGGCGCGAAGTACCGTGTCGGCCGCCGAGGGGCTGTGTCGGCCGGCGGCGCCTGAGTCGGCCGCGGGGCTTCTGTGTCGGCCGCCGAGGGGCGGCGCGTGCAGGGCTTCCACAAAGAAGGAAAAAAGATCCCAGCGCTAACTTAGCAAACTAAGGTCTGTGTGTCGAAACTGGCATGTCTGTGTCGGCCGCGGGGCTTCTGTGTCGGCCGCGGAGGGGCTGTGTCGGACGGCGGCGCCTGGGGCGGCGCGTGCAAGGCTTCCACAAAGAAGGAAATAAGATCCCAGCGCTAACTTAGCAAACTAAGGTCTGTGTGTCGAAACTGGCATGTCTGTGTCGGCCGCGGGGCTTCTGCGTCGGCCGCCGAGGGGCTGTGTCGGACGGCGGCGCCTGAGTCCGCCGCGGGGCTTCTGCGTCAGCCGCCGAGGGGCTGTGTCGGACGGCGGCGCCTGAGTCGGCCGCGGGGCTTCTGTGTCGGACGGGGGGGCGGCGTGCGCGGCGCTTCCACAAAGAAGGAAATAAGATCCGAGCGCTAACTTAGCAAACTAAGGTCTTTGTGTCGAAACTGGCATGTCTGTGTCGGCCGCGGGGCTTCTGTGTCGGCCGCGGAGGGGCTGTGTCGGACGGCGGCGCCTGGGGCGGCGCGTGCAAGGCTTCCACAAAGAAGGAAATAAGATCCCAGCGCTAACTTAGCAAACTAAGGTCTGTGTGTCGAAACTGGCATGTCTGTGTCGGCCGCGGGGCTTCTGTGTCGGCCGCCGAGGGGCTGTGATGGACAGCGGCGCCTGAGTCCCAACTATCTTGCAACGTCACAAAATCTTCTAAATGTGCCATCTGTGACGAGTTACAAGAGAAAATTCGGAGCATAGCGTCAAGACCGGCTCAAAAAGTGACTGGAAAAAGCTCAGAGCAGAGCATCAAGAGCGTGTCACAACCTGCATGTGCCTGTGTCGGACAAAAGTTTC